CTTAGCCTATGTAGGCTGCAGTGGGGTAGACACTAAGGGGTACAGGTTTTATATTTGTATCTCACACTTTCCTAGTTCATTCATTCCTGTTTAATTCTTCACACAATTTCGTCAGGATCGAGGCGGATGCTGCTGTCAGTTACAGCTGGCATGGGACGTCGTTGATCGTCCACCAGGTAAGTATGATGAACTTCACGAACATCGTCGGGATGAGCGTCGACGAGAGGAATGAATTCCGGAAATCCGGAAGACGTGGTTGGAATAGGTGGATCAGGAGCGGCTTCACGTGCACCGTCAATTTCAGGTTCTTCGCTGGCAGCGAGTTCGGCGTCAGCACTGGCGAATGAGCGAACTCCGTGGAAAAGTGTAGCAGGGTCACGCTGCGTGGCGAGGTACTGTTCGAAGACAGGAAGGGTCAGATTTTCGTAGAAAATACAGTCGCGAGCAGGAATTAAAAGTCGACTGCGATAATCCAGAATAAGCCATGCAGAAAACTGCTTCTCAAGGCCGAGATGAAGACCCCACTTAGCACGTTGATCGAACTTTCCGAGCGGAGCGGTGGGAGGACGATATTGCACAACACACCCAAAAACTCGAAGAAGTTTCGTAGTGCCCAATTTTCCTGTCCACAACAAGTGAGGTGACGCGTTGTTTGGTAAAGCCGATGAAGACAGGAGGTTGTGCAACAGCGTTGTGTGGTCCATCGCGAAGGGCCAGTAGAGTGGGCCGAGTTGAGACTGTGCGAGTAGTGCTCGCATCTTTTCTTGCAAAGTACGATTGAGGCGTTCAGCTACACCGCTCTGCTGGTGAGCGTGAGGAAGTGAGAACAGGCGCCGTATGCCTCGTTCTTGCAGGTACGCTGTAAACTCGAGGCTGCGATATTCCCCAGCTCCGTCACACTGGAAGCTTTTGAGTTTTGTGTCGGACTCGCGTTCTGCGAGAGGAAGCCATGTCTGAAACGCTGTGAAAGCAAGAAAACGGTTAGTCATGTTACCAGTCCAGACATATCGAGTAGAAGCTTCAGTGAACGTGATAACATATTTCTCGCCGTTGAAACCCTCCGCAGGTAAGTTTAGAATATCGCTGTAAACTTTTTCCATCAATCGATAATCCTCAGCTCCAGGAAAATTAGTCGGGTACGGTTCGTGCGGTAGATTTGCTGCTGGGCAGATCAAACAGGGTGATGGACGATTAACCGGTTTCATTTCGAGGCCGCCAGGTAAGAGAAGAGAATTTTTGTCGAGAACAGTTGCTTTGATTGTGTTGTATAGCGTAGATTGCGACGGATGACCAAGACGCTTATGCCAGGTTTCTGCAGTTGCTTTGTGTCCTTGTGCGCGCAGATAATAATCGGCGTTAGCGAAGAAAGATAACAGCAGCCGATGACCGTCAGCGTGAACATGATCTGTGACTGGTGGAATAGACCTGGTAAGGTTAGGAGGTGGTATTTTGATTTCGACGTCGATGGATTCGCCAGGTGAAAGAACCAACTCCCCGCTTTCTTGATCTGATGCTGCAGGTTTAGGCTCAACACCGATAAGTCGTCCGGAGTCGAGGAATTCCATGTCAGCGATGCGCTGCTCTGCTTCAGTGAGAAGACGTCGATCACGATCAGCCGGTGTTTCTCCCCAAGTGGTCTCGGCAGGTTCCTGTGCCCCCCAAGTGCCTTCACCCGTGGGCATATTCGTCGTATCTCCCCAACCACCAGCAAGATAATCTCGGGAGTTTTGGACGTCGTTCAAACCTTGATTGTCGAAGGCCAGCATGACTGCGGCGGCCGTAGTCGAAGACGTGGGTACAACTCTATCACGAGGAACGGTATCATCGGTGTAATCGATGTCATCACGATGTTCCCATGGGCCAAGAGAGAGAATATTCTCGGAGTCGGCAGTGGTGCGTTCAGGTACGAAGTTGAGAACGAACACACCGTTCGGTTCAGTTGCCGTGCCGAGTTTCTTGTCTCCATATTTTGCCCGGTTCACCAACTAAATTTGCCCGGTTCACCAAGAAGAGTAATGCCATTCCTCATGAGCTGTGCAGATGACATCAGATTGAAGCCAAGTCGAGGAACGAGGAGTACATCGTTAAGATGAAGACTGAAGTCTTCGTCAACAGAATCAAGAATGACGTTACCCATCCAGTGCGCTGTAAGACGTTGATTGTTGGCGACGGTTACAACGCATGGATTCTGAAGACGACGCTGATTAATGACGAAGCGATTTTCTGATGAACACATATGCTGGCCGCAACAGCTGTCAAGATACCAAGTGTTGGGCCCTTCCAAGGTATGTGCAAGGTTGGCGTAGACCTCGGGTGGTATGGGCGTGTTGAGTTCATCATTGAAGTTATTGTGAATACGTTCCTCAGCGTCAGGATCGTAGACTGTAGAAACTGACGTCATACAATTAATAACTTCTTTCGCTTGTGTCTTGGCAGGTGTAGTAGGTGGCTTCGCAGAGTTCGGCTTCGCAGTATTCTGCTTCACAGCTTCCTGCTTCTCAGCTGCCTGCTTCTCAGCTTCACCTGAAGAATCTTTGGAATGTTTCGGTGTAGTCCGCTTCCAAGATGGTTTATCTTTCGACCAGCAGGTATCAATAGTATGTCCTGCTTTGCGACAAAAGGAACAAACGGGTTTGTGACGTGGATTAGAGTAAAAACTGACTGTGTTGTTTACCACTTTTTCCCCTCCTCGAGCGTTGTACAGGTCCATATCCTGCTGCTCGGCGATGAGAGCGGCACAGAGTGCCCCCTCGGACAACTGTGCTTGCATCCGAAGTATAGAGCGACACTGTCGCCATTCTGGTCCAAGACCCGCGAGTAGCACCGTGTGAAACATAGCATCGGGGAAGTACCCTCCACACTTCTGAAGTTGATCACGCAAATTTCGAGCGCGGTTGATATACTGCGTCACCTTCTCGCCGTTTATCATGTGTATATTTGACAGCTGCGTCAAAATTTTACTCTGGTTGACAGTGTCCTTTGCCATGTGAACCCCTTGCAGGTATAACCAAGCTTCTTCAGCAGGAGCGGCACTGGTACGAAAAGAACGAATTCCGAGCTGTTCAGTCGGTGTCAGATTACGAACGAGAACTGTGTATGCAGTCAGCGACGCCGATCTAAAAGTGGCTTGTTGAAGAGGGGACCCGTGAGATGGAAAGGGTGCTGTGCCGTCATACAGCTGCCAGAACCCCGCAGTCTGTACAAGAAGCTCAAACTCAAAGCTACAGGTATAAAAATCTTGACCGTTAAAAGGCATTGTCGTTTTGATTTTTGTTGGATTTGCAGAAGCAGGAATATAATTTCCGGTCCCGTCAGCTGATTGTAGCTGATAAAGTGATGGCACCTGTGACCCTTGTTGTGTTTTTTGTCCTTGTCCAGCAGGAACAAAAGAGAAGGAGTTGTTCGACCCGTCACTTCCTTGTGGCATCTGACCATGCTGATAACTGGAGCCATCAATGCTCATAGGAGTTGGAAACATCTGGTTAAGTGACAAGACGGCAGCATTAACACGTTGTTGAAGATTTGCTGGCTGGTAAGCACCTTGATATTGGTAAGGTCCAGTCGGTATGAAGTTGGACTGTTGTCCTGGTTGACTAGAAGAACCAGTGACTGCAGCTGCAGCTGTTGTGGCTGCTGATGCTGCTATTGCTGCGGCTGCTGTCGATGATGCCGCTGCTGTAGTTGCGTGTACGGGCTGATTGCTCAATGGCATGCCGTACATCGGTTGTTGCTGATATTGTTGTTGTTGTTGTTGTTGCTGCAGATGTGAATTATCAGCAGCTGGAGACGCTGTTGGGCGTGATGGGCTCGTAACGGAAGAGCCGTTGTTGGACCGTGGAGATCCAGACATAGTTGTAGAGTATGTAGTTGGAAGCTGTTATAATCCTAAGTTTCTCTGATACCATGTTAGAATTTGAAGTGAGTTTGTAGGATCGTACTACTTAGGATGGTAACTTCCTGTCGTAGCGGAAGTCTTATATGAGTTAAGCCAGTTGTGAAGGCTTTGTCTAGACTTAATAAAGTCTATGTAGTGATACTGTCAAACTTATATGATCTAGCCTGTGTAGGCTGTAGCGGGTTAGATACTAAGGGGTACACAATTCTAGGGTTTCACATTTGTATCACTTTCATTACTTAGTCAATTCATTCTCGTTCTAAGTTTCTCATGGTATCGAGCAGGTTCCCTCGTGGGAACTGTTCCTAGGGCCCACCAAGATTTTTTTTCCTACCCGGGGCGCGTGCCGCCCCTGCCCGAAGCGCGCCTAGTGTCCCACCCCTCAGGCCCCGTCGCTGCCCTCTCTAGGCCCCGCGTGGCCCCTTAGCGGCCCCGTCGCCGCCCCTTACGGCCCCGCGACCGCCCCTTACGGCCCCGCGACCGCCCCTTACGGCCCCGTCGCCGCCCCTTAAGGCCCCGTCGCCGCCCCTTACGGCCCCGTCGCCGCCCCTTTCGGCCTCGTCGCCACCCTTCAGCGGCCCCATTGCCGCCTTTCCGCGGCCCCGTCGCCGCCCTTTCGCGGCCTCGTCGCCGCCCTTCAGCGGCCTCGTCGCCGCCCCTCAGCGGCCTCGTCGCCGCCCTTCAGCGGCCTTATTGCCGCCCCTTGCGGCCCCGTCGCCGCCCTTCGCGGCCCTGCCGCCCTTCCTCGGCCCCTCAGCCGCCGTTCCCGGCCCCGTCGAGCAGCCGAGCCGCCGTCACCGCCGAGCCGCCGAGCCGCCCTTGCCGCTGTGCCGCCGAGCTGCCGAGCCGCCGAGCCGCCGAGCTGCCGAGCCGCCGAGCCCCCGAGCTGCCGAGCCGCCGAGCCGCCGAGCCGCCCTGCAGCCGAGCCGCCGAGCCGCCGAGCCGCCGAGCCGCCACGCCACCGCAGCCGAGACGCCGCAGTCCCTGCCGTCGCGGCCCTGTCCCTGCCGGCCTGCCTCGGCCCGCCCCACCTGCCTGGTAAGAGCAGCGCCTCTGCCACTGCACTGCCCTACCCCGCTGCTCTCTCTGCCAGTCTACTGCTGTCATGGCCACCCCCAGTGTTCTCACCTTTGACGCTGAGGGTCGGGCTGTTGACTTTGAGGTCTGGGTAGATGATCTGCAGCTTTTCCTACAGTGCAATAGGGCAGACGGTCTCTCTCTGTTTGACCTCACCTCTGGTGCCTCTCCTGCCCCTGCTGCTGATGCTGACGCCACTGTTCGCTCACAGTGGGCCACGCGCGATGCTGCTGCTCGCCTTGCTGTGCGCCGCCACTTACCGACCGCTGAGCACGCGCATTTTAGTCAGTACAAGAGTGCTAAGACCTTGTACGACGCTGTCGTTGCACGCTACTCTTCCCCTGCCACTGCTGCCCTTAGCCGCCTCATACTGCCGTACCTCTTCCCTGACCTCGCCGCTTTTCCCACAGTCGCTGACCTCATTACGCACCTTCGCACTAGTGACATTCGCTACCGCGCTGCGCTTCCTGCTGAGTTCTGCGCCAAGAACCCCCCCCCCTATGTACATCACCCTCTACTACATAGTCACCCGGCTCCCTGACACCCTTCGCTCGGTCAGGGACCACTTCCTCTCTGTTTGCCCCACCACCCTCACCGTTGACCTCCTCGAGGAGCGCCTCCTAGCAGCAGAAAAGAGTATAGTCGCTGTAGGAGCCTCTCGTGGTGACCCTCGTACCCCTGTCTTTGAGGGGTGCTCCCCCTCCCCCCTCTTGCCCTCTGTTGCCTCTGCTGCTGCGGCCGACCTCGTTGGTCTTGAGTCGGTCGGCGCGGCGTCTGCCCCTAGCGGAAGACGCCGCTCAGGCAAGGGCAAGGGGGGCAAGGGCGCTGGAGGAGCTGGCGGGGGCGGTGGAGGCGGCGGTGGAGGCGGCGGAGGGGGTGGGGGTGGCGGTGGGAGTGGTGGCGGGAGTGGGGGCACTAGTGGCGGCAGTGGAGGCGGAGGAGGCGGCGGCGGTGGCGGTGCGGGCGGAGGTGGTGGAGGTGGAGGCGGTGGTGGAGGTAGCGGCGGCGGAGGTGGAGCTGGTCGGGGCGGCTCTTTGCAGAGGGTCGGCTCCGGTGGTGGTCAGCGCCAGCAGCAGCAGCAGCAGCGCACTCGTGAGACCCCTTCCCCCCAGCAGCTTCGTGAGTGGTACACTGCTCGTCAGCGGGGTTGGGGTGCTGGCCCCTGTACCTACGTTCTACGTACAGGCGACCGCACGGGTGAGCAGTGTGGGGGTCCGCACTCCACCCAGCGCTGCTTCGGCCACCTGACGGACGCTTGGCGTCACCAGTTCCCCGACGCTATTGAGATCCCTCGCTGGGGCGAGCTGTTCAGGGCGGGTGTTGCGATCTTTGATCTTGATTATGATGCTATTCTTGCTGCAATGTATGCTGTGACTATTAGTGATGAGGGTGACTGTTACCGGTGTTTTCCGCCTGACCCGGGCATTGAGGCTGCTGCTCTAGGTGCTGGTGAGGCTGCTGCTCTAGGTGCCAGTGAGCCTGCTGCCCCAGGTGCTGGTGAGTCTGCGCTCTCAGGTACCGCGTCGGCTCCGGCCACCCACACCTTCACCCTTGACTCGGGTGCTTCCCGCTCCTTCTTTCAAGACCGCACCACGCTTACGCCGCTTAGTCGGCCAGTGGCAGTCTCCCTGGCAGACCCCTCTGGGGGTCCTGTCCTTGCCCACTTCTCCACTGTTCTACCGTGTCCGGCGGCCCCTTCTGGCACCCTGTCGGGTCTTTACCTCCCCTCGTTCTCTACGAACTTGGTGAGTGGTGCTGACCTCCAGGATGGAGGGGTTCACCAGTTCACTCCTGCGAGTCAGCGAGTGACCCACTGTACCTGTGCTCGGACGGGCCGTCACTTGGCCACGTTTACCCGTCAGCCGGGGTCGAGCCTGTACACACTGACTACTGAGTCTCCTCCGGTCACTGAGTCTGCTCAGGTAGCCGCGTCGGGTCAGGTGTTTGCTGCGGCGTCCAGGTCTGGTCCTGAGTCTGCCCCCTGCTCGTGTCGTCTCCTGTCTCACCAGACTCTCCTCTGGCACCACCGCCTTGGTCACCCCTCCCTGCCTCGTCTTCGAGGCATGGCCTCCCGTGTCCTTGTCTCTGGTCTCCCCCGGTCCCTCCCTCCCCTTCCTCCGGGGCCTGCCCCCACCTGCGTTCCCTGCGTCGAGGGGCGGCAGCGCGCTGCTCCTCACTCCTCCGAGTTTCCTCCGACAGAGGCTCCGCTGCAGACGCTTCACATGGACGTGTGGGGCCCAGCCCGCGTCCGTGGACAGGGTCACGAGCGTTACTTCCTGCTGGTGGTTGATGACTACTCGCGTTATACCGCAGTCTTCCCCTTGCGCAGCAAGGGTGAGGTCACTGAGGTGTTGATCGCCTGGATCCGCGCTGCCCGTCTCCAGCTCAGAGAGAGTTTCGGCTCGGACTTTCCTGTTCTGCGTCTGCACTCTGACAGAGGCGGAGAGTTCTCCTCTGACCTTCTGCGAGCCTTCTGTCGTGCACGAGGCATCCGCCAGACCTTCACGCTTCCGAACTCTCCGCAGAAAAATGGGATTGCTGAGCGCCGCATTGGCATGGTCATGGACGTCGCTCGTACGTCCATGGTCCATGCGGCTGCCCCCCATTTTCTGTGGCCGTTTGCGGTTCGGTACGCGGCGCATCAGATCAACCTTCAGCCCAGGGTCTCCATGCCGGAGACCTCCCCTGCTTTGCTGTGGACGGGGAAGGTTGGCGATGCGTCTGCGTTCCGTGTCTGGGGATCTCGGGCGTTTGTCCGCGACTTGTCTGCGGACAAGCTGTCCCCTCGTGCTGTTCCCTGCGTCTTCCTTGGCTTCCCCCCTGACGCGCCGGGCTGGCAGTTCTACCACCCCACCTCGCGCCGTGTTCTGTCCTCCCAGGACGTCACCTTTGACGAGTCGGTTCCCTACTACCGTCTCTTCCCCTACCGCACTGCGTCCCTCCCCCCCCCGCCGCTCTTCCTTACGCCAGGTCCCCCTCCGGTAGACCCCCTCCCCCCTCAGGGTCCTGCCCCCTCAGGTGTGTCTCAGGTAGACGCAGTCGACCCTGTCGAGGTAGTTGTTGACTCTGGTGCTGCTAGGGGTGCTGAGCCTGCGGGTGCTGGGTCTGGGGGTGCTGAGCCTGGGGGTGCTGACTCTGGGGGTGCTGAGCCTGGGGGTGCTACGCCTGGGGGTGCTGCGTCTGGGGGTGCTGAGCCTGGGGGTGCTGCGTCTGGGGGTGCGGAGTCTAAGGGTACTGGACCTGCTCGTGTGGCGTCTGGCGGTGCTGGGCCTGGAGGTTCTTCGGGTGCTTCGTCCCGGCGGGAGCTACTCTCTCCACAGGAACTGCGTGAGTGGTTTGCCCGGCGCTGGAGGCGAGCTGCTGGAGCTGGAGGTGCTGCGGGTGCTGGAGGTTCTGCTGCTGCTGAGGGTGCTGGTGCCGCGGGTCCCGTAGGTGCTAGTACTGGGAGTACTGGAGCTGCAGGGCCTGCGGGTGCTTCTCGTACTGGAGCTGGTGGTGCTGCGGACGTCGGTGCTACTGAGGGTGCTGGATCTGGACCCGCTGCGTCTTCTGGTGGTCCGGCTGGAGCTGGAGCTGCTGGGGGTGTTGGCGCTGAGGGTGCCTCTGGTGCTGGTGCCTCTGAGGGTACTGGAGTTGGCGCTGCTGGAGCTGGGGGTGCTGCTGGCGCTGGTGCTGTCGTTCGGGGTGCTGGTGCTGTCCCTTCTGGTGCTGGTGGTGCTGAGCGACCGCGGCCGTACTTCGTTCCGCTCCTTGAGCAGGTTCTTGGTCTTCCGCCCTCTGCTAGTCCGGCTCCTCCCTTAGAGTGTCCACCGCCTGTCCAGTCCGAGTCACAGTTACAGCCTACCTCTCCTCTACCTGCTCCTTCTCCCTACACTGGTCCTACTGGAGGTCTTGCTGAGCTTCGTGAGCCTGCGTCTCGTCCTGCGTCGCCTGTCCGTGCTGCTCGCACTAGTAGTCGTGGTTCGCGTCAGCGTCCTCCCCCTGTCCCCGGCACGCACCAGATGTCTCTGCGTCCCTCCACTGCTCCGCTGCGTGCCCCTTTGCCTTCTCCTCCTGAGTCCTCTCTTCCTGTTCTTGCTGACCCGGAGTCGGACTCCCTTTGTGCTGCCAGTCCTGCTGTCACGCGTCTCCTTGCTACTGTCGTCACTGACCCTTCCTTTGAGTCCGCTGCTGCGTCTGCCTTGTTGGTGCAACCTACGGTTTGCACTCGGCTTGTTGTCCGTGTGCGTGCATGCGTGTGTGCATGGAATGGTATGAGGGCATGAGATAATATATATTTCATGCTTATAATAGTGTGTGAATGTTGAGTCATGATGTCGAATGTGTGCGTGTCAAGTCAATAGCGAGTTATCGCTATTCGTGTCCCGCGCGGTTTCTATCTTGTCGCTTGTGTGTCTCGCGCGGTTCCTAATTTGTCCTGTGTCGAACGTTCGGCGTGTCGCAGGTGTGTGCAGCAGACCCATGAAGAACTCAAGGATGAGTTTGTGGTGAAGAACCAGAGCCTTGGTGTCCAGCCTCAAGTGATTTCGAAGCTCGCCAAAAAAGGGTACACTTCAAGATGTTGAAGATAGTTACACTACAATGTGTAGTGTAACACTTATGTTGGTGTAGACCCTTGTGGAGGGTAGTTTCGAGACCCTTCTTGGTTGGGGACAGTGTGGCACTGTTCCACATCACTGTACCTCGGCTCTTGGGGTTTGTAGGAGCTGGGAGTCATTCCCAACTCGTAACTCTTCCTAACTCTTCCTATTGTGTGTTCTAAGACTATAGTGGCTGCCATAGTGCCGTTCGTTCAAACCGATGCTGTGTCGTCAATACTTGGTGAAATCGTGCGATCTAAATTGCCTACTCTAGGCGACGTTAAGACGCTCCAGATCCAAGTTAAATCAGGTCATTTGAAGCTGTGACCAGAACGCTATGAACGTTTAAAGCCGCTGTGCAGAAATCCGACTGTGCACTCTATCTTTCGTTTTAGGCACATTGAAGCCTACTGTGACTATAACAAGTGGTATCAGAGCACCTTGGAGCAGTTTCGACAATGGCTGGACATGAAGAGAGGGGTAGCAGAGGTGCTGGTGGCAGTGGAGAAGCCCAAGCACAAGGCCAAGCCCGTGATTCAGCCGTGGGGCCCGTGCAACCTACTCTTGGACCTTCTAGGGATGAACCAAGAGTGTTCGAGCTTGACAAGTTCAACGGTGACAACTTTGCTGAATGGTCCTTCAGAATGGAGAATGTGTTTGATCACTATGACCTGCTGGAGGTGATGGAAGGAACGGAGAAGCGTCCCGAGAACGACCCGGAGAAGAGCCCGTGGGTGCGGAAGAGCGCACAAGGCTATCTCCTACTTGGGCAAGCGTTGGGGAGCAGCCAAATCCGTCACATCAAGTCATTCCAGCGTGAACCAGAGAAGGGACCAAAGGCATGGGCTGCTCTCAAGGGTGTACACGCTCCTGCAACAGCGGCGGTAGCGGTGGTGTTGGAACGGCAAATGGCGACACTACGAATTGACGAGGATGAAGCGGTTGAAGAAGGGGTGCAGAAATTCTTCGACTTGTTGACGCGGCTTGAGGGAGCTGATTTGAACTACAGTGAGCTCCAGAAGAAGACCAAGTTGCTGGCCTTACTCCCAGAGTCATGGTCCTCGCTCATCATCAACCTCAACCGAGATCTGCCCCGCCTCTCGCTCGAAGATGTGAAGCGAGCAATCCTTCAAGAGGACTTCCGCCGCCGTGAGTTGGCGAGTGCGGATGGCGCCGGGGCAGCAAGCATCGGCCGGGGGTACGGCCGTGGAAGAGGCAGAGGACGAGGGGGAGGCAGATTTGGCAGCAACAACTTCAATAGAGGCCGCGGGAGTGGCGGTTACGGCAGCGACGACAAGAGCTATGGATGCGGTCGCGGCCGATTCGACGGCGAATGCCATTATTGCCACAAGACCGGACACATGTGGCGCGATTGCTACAAGCTCCCTGAAGGATGGACCCCTGCTCAAGGCCAAGAGGGTAGAGGAGCAGGAGGAGGGAGAGGAAGAGGCCGTGGAGGCCGTGGCGGTCGCGGAGGCGGTGCTGCAAATATGAAGAACGAAGATAACGACAAGGGTCCAAGCGACGATCGGTACCCGGGTCTATTCTACTTCGTGTCGACGCAAGTACCGGCTGGTCCAGAGAAGGACGAAGGCTTTGAGGAGCCAGCAGCTGTGGGAAAGGTGACCCTACACCCCCTGGACTTTTGGGTGATCGATAGCGGCGCTACCTATACCATGACACCTCGCGCGGACTTGCTCACCGAACTTGAACCGTCACCGGTGAAGCATGTCACATCGGCTTTGGGGCAGCGAGCAGAGGTGAAAGGCATGGGCAAGGCCATGTTCAAGGGTGCTGATGGGAAGATGGTGGGCCTCAAGAACGTGCTTTGGGTGCCCAGCCTTGCAGCCAACCTGATTTCCGTGCGGCGATTGGCAAAGGCCGGCATGGACACGAACTCGAAGGGAGCCAAGACCTACACCGCGAGGCTTGGCGAGCGGACTCTATGGGACCTTCACGAGGATAGGGACGTCTACAACGAGATGTGGCAGATCCCTGTGGTCGCCATGCCTAAAAAGAGGCAAGTGGCAGCAAGCGTCAGCACCAAGGGTGAAGCGGGTGGTAGCGGCTACGGCGCGAACGATGGCGCCAAGGCGAAAGAGTCCAACAAGTGCAATCTTGGAGGGACCAGCAAGCTGTGTGAACTTAAGGAGAGTGGTGCAGCAGTCAAGAAGCAGCACAAGGGTGAGAAAACCCCGAGGCAGCAGCGGAGGAGGACAACGGAGAGAGCATATGGGGCGCTATTGCGAGCGCGGCATTCTCCAATCCAACTTCGGCTACGGGGGAGTGTGATTGGCTCACCTTGCATCGGCGAATGGGGCATGTGGCCCTGCCTATCTTGCAGCAGCTAGTCAAGGGTGAGATGGTTGCTGGCATACGCGTGAAGGGGGAGCCCGATGAGGTACTTGGCTGCCCGACGTGCATGCAAGCCAAGTTCACCCGTTTCCCGTTCTCTAGTTCGGAGGCGACGACTAAGGCACCGCTTGATGAGGTGGTGATGGACGTGGTGGGCCCCCTGAAGCTTGGAGCTGCTGGAGCTGAGTATTTCCTCACTATTGTGGACGTCTACACCCGCATGACTTGGGTGTACGTGCTGGCCAAGAAGAGCGACGTAGCTGAAACGTTGAAGACGGATTGGTTCCCGATGGTGGAGCGGCAACGAGACCGTCTAGTGAAGTCGATCCGCACCGATCGAGGGGGAGAGTTCCTGAGCAAGGAGTTCGGATTGTGGCTGAAGAAGAATGGGATAAGGCACTCCCTCACCATGCCATACTCCCCTGCAATGAACGGCATCGCCGAGCGAGCGAACCGGACAATCACGGAGGCGGCACGCGGGTTGCTCATTGAAGCCGGGCTACCTGACTATTTCTGGCCTGATGCGGTGCGGAGTGCGTGTGTGGCCAAGAACAGAGCCTTGACTCATGTGGGAGCAGACAAATGGGTGCCCTATGTGGAGTGGCTTGGAAGGAAGCCAAAGGTGGATATGCTTCGGGTGTTCGGGTGCATGTGCATGGCGCTCGTGCCTAAGCATCTTCGGCACAACAAGCTTGGTGCCAAGGCGGTGTGGGCCGTGCACTTGGGCATGGCTCAAAACAGCAAGGGATGGCTTCTTTGGGACCCATTCACCAAGAAGTTCTTGGTGAGCAGGGACTGCAAGTTCATGGAGAACTTCATGTACAAGGATTGGAAGGCGGAGAATGAGGCGAAGATAGGCGTGCGGTTTGGGGAGGTGAAGAGTTCCGGTTTGGAGCATGTGGAGCTGCCTTTGGAGCTGAGCAGCGGCAGCACAACCACGAGGCAATCCTCCCTTGTGAATGGCGGAGAGGAGGCCAATGATGCAGAGGAAGAAGAGGAGGAGGTGCAGCAAGTGAGCGAGCGTGCACCGTCACTCCCTTCCCGCACTACGAGTGCTCCACGGATTCGAACCACACCGCAGCAACGCCAAGGCCTTCAAGTCCCTGCAGCTGAGGAGGAAGGAAGGGGGAAGAGGAGAGTTCAACCCCCTAATAGGCTGACCTATGATGCGCCGGGAAAGCAGGGCAAGACAGCCCTGGCCGGAGCGGCAATGATGGTCGGAGACGACGAGGAGAGTGACTACGAGGAGTGTGCCTTCGCGTTCTTCTCTCCGATGGAGATGCCGGGAGAACCAGCAACTCTCAAGGAGGCTTTGGAGAGTAGTGATGCTGAGGAGTGGAAGAAGGCCATGGAGAGTGAGCTGAAAAGCATCGAGGAGAACGACACGTTTGAGTTGGTGGAGCTACCGGAGGGGCGTAAGGCGATTACGTCAAAGTGGCTCTTCAAGATCAAGTCCGACGCCGACGGCAAGATCGAGCGTTACAAGTCTAGGCTGGTGGCCAAGGGGTACCAGCAAAAGGAGAAGGTGGACTACAAGGAGCTGTTTGCTCCTGTGGTGAAGCCGACGACGCTGCGAACCCTATTCGCGGGAGCCGCCATCAAAGGATGGGTGGTAAAGCAAATGGACATCGTAACGGCATTCCTTAACGGCATCCTTGAGGAGGAGATTTTTATGGCGCAGCCAGAGGGGTTTGATGATGGTAGTGGCAGAGTGTGGAAGTTGAAGAAGGCCCTCTATGGGCTGAAGCAGGCCCCTAGGCAATGGTACATGAAGCTGCGCGAAGTGTTGGAGGAGATCGGCTTCACTCCCTCAACGGCCGATCACTCCTTGTTCATGCTTGGCGAGGGGGAGCAGAGGAGCTTCATGGTAGTTTATGTGGATGACATTCTCATATTCTCACCCTCCTCTGACCTTGTGAAGGAGGTGATGCTGAAGCTTCAGGACAAGTTCAAGTGCAAGTCCCTTGGTGACGTGAACTTCTACCTTGGGCTCCACATCGAACGAGACGTGGAGAAGCGGTGCATGCGGGTGCACCAACGGAAGTACCTGGAGGCGTTGGCTGCCAACTTTGGCCAGAGTGAAGGCCATGTGGCTACTCCCTTTCCCTCTGGGTTCAAGTGTGTGAAGGGACCAGAGGAGGAGAGCGTTGGTGAAGAGGAGAGGCGCCGTTTTCACTCGTTGGTGGGCAGCCTCATGTATGCGGCGGTAAACACTCGGCCGGACGTGGCCTTTGCTACCGGGCAGCTGGCTAGGGTTGTGCAATGCGCTAATGAGGAGCAGGTAGCAGCTGGAATGAGGGTGGCCAAGTATCTTGGCCAAACACCGACCGTTGGGCTGCAATACTCGGCGGCGGCGCAAAGGCGCCAAAAGGGCGCGGATGGTGTAGAACCCGGGCGTTTGTTCCTCACCGCCTACTCGGATGCTTCATATGCATCGGAACCAGAGGACATGACAAGTGTTGGAGGGTTTATTTGCTGTGTTGGTGGAGGCCCAACTGCTTGGGAGAGCAAGAAGCAGGTTGATCAAGCATTGAGCTCGGTGGAGTCCGAGTACATGGCACTCTTCCGTGCTTTGCGGGAGATTGTGTGGCAGCGGTGTTTGTTGGCTGAATTGGGGGAGGAGCAGCAAGGACCTACCCCTCTCTACTGTGACAGCCAGGGTGCCATTGCTCTTGCTAAGAACCCTGTGTTGCATGGCCTCACCAAGCACATGAGGGTGAAGTGGCATTGGACGAGGAGCATGGTGGCCGCGGGTGAAGTTGAGTTGCACTATGTGAAGACGACGGGGCAGCCAG